CCGTTTAACTCTTATTTTATCGAGCTACCACTCGATCACTAACAGAGAGCTTTGTACAATATTTCTCAGTCTGTTCAGGCCCTGTCTGTTCAGAGGTAACACCCAGAATCAGAACAGTGAGCCCTGTGAGCAGCAATTAGACAAGCTAATCACGAAAATAAGTATCTCAGAGGAGATCTTGTAGAGGGTATGTGAGATTTAGAGTGAATGATCAATCCAAAGATAGGCCAGGACTTGGGGGGTTCACTCATCCACAAATCTCTTTGTAATATAATAATATTAATCCTGGTTTTTGATACAGAGCCTTATCACGTCTTCGAGACATCTCAAAGCGCTTCACAGAATATACCGTCATGTGGAGTGCCTGTATGTTTTGTGGGCAAAACATAAAACAACAATCAACCCTTGTAGTGTGGATGTGGCCACTTGGAAAACTGGCCACCCAGGTATTTGTCATCAATATTTGGGCAGATTCCCTGGATGATTGGCTTGCTACTCACTGAGCGGTTCAGACCATTGAAGCAGAAATTACCAGCAATGCACTTTTGGCCATGGCTCGCCAGCTACCCTCAAACACAGCCTGTCATCTCACATGGAAAATGTTTGTTCTAAGGCGTTTGTCCTCAGAAGTATTGACTCATCAAATCATTTAAGGGAAAACCTGACACACACACGAGAGAGAAAGAGGACAACAACAACAACAACAACAAGATTCCACGTCAGGAGGACGTCCCAAGGCGCTGCACAGTTGGGTCATGACCCGAGCAGGGGGGAAATGGTCAGGGTGAGGGGAGGGAAGGGAGGGAGGAGGGGGGAAATGGTCAGGGTGAGGGGAGGGAAGGGAGGGAGCGAGGAGGAGGAAGAGAGTCGAGAGGGGAGCTGAAGGCACGGTCAAAGAGAAAGGTTTTGAGACCGGCCTTGAAGGAGGAAAGGGAAGAAGCGGCGAAGGCACTGGGGGATGGAGTTCAGAGCCTGGGGGCTGAGAGGCTGAAGGCCCGACCACCGATAGTAGGGGGAGGCTCAAGTGGGGTATAAACACCAATGGATCTAGTTGGGCTAAGGATGATGCAATACAATACAAAATTACATTTGTACAGCGTCAGAAAGATGGCCTATTTTTGTACTTTTTAACATAACTCTATACAGTCAACTTGAGCTTGAAGCTAAACTGTATTCAACTACTTTGATATAGCTGTTTCCTTCCACCTGAGTCTCTTCTGGTTTGAGATTCATGAAAAGAGGTAAAGTTTGGCTGTCACGCTTCGCCCACAAAACATACAGTCATTTCACTTTACAATATATTCTTGACAATGTGATAAGACGCTAAATCAAATGCAAGGATGCTTATTAGTATTATTATACAAAGAAGTTCAACATCAACAGATCTTCTTTGTATCCTGTTCTTTAAGCCTGTGGGTTTTACGTAAGTTCATTTTCATTTCTTGAAAGTTGGTTCTGTTGGTCGCTCTGTATTCTGCCCATAGTCCGTGAGGTTTATCAAATAGTGGTTGATCGGGTTTATCTGATCTGGCAGCAGCCGTGAGCAGTTCTGAAATCCCGCCCTGAAGTTTCTTACCTTAAATCAAATGTAATGTTGTTTTGAGACAGGATGTCACTGTTCCCTTGTTTCATCTGCCTCCACATAAAACGGAATGGGGAAGATCTTTCCATCACGTGAATTACTGTGGGTCATATGTGATTTCTGCAGTGGCCAACCAAATCGATTTGAGAGACAACGGGGCTGTTTGTATGTGAAAGTCTCGAAGCCAACTAACAATCGGGGAAGTGTTTTATTTGAATGAATTGAGCATTGCTAACCGCTAACCGCTAGAACATCACCTGGCTCATAACATGCTCACACAACTTGCTCTTTGAGCAACAGGAATCCTGTAGCTCAGTGGTTGGAGCATTCGCCTCGCAAGCGAGGGAACACGGGTTTGATTCCCGGGCAGGGCAAAATGTTGGGCAAGTTTCTTTACTCCACACAGCTCTGTTTACCCAGCAAAAAGTAGGAACCCGGTTGTTAGTCAATTACCGGATTGCTTTCCAGGTGGAGTCCTGTAGCTCAGTGGTTAGAGCACTCGCTTTGCAAGCGAAAAACCTGAGTTCAATTCCAGGCAGAGGGCGAAACCTTGGGCAAGTTTCCTTACTCCACACAGTAATAATCCCTCCAAAACAAAACAATAATAAATTGGTCATTTTCAATCTACGACTGTTTGTGGGACATTGCTGTGCGCAATTGGCTGCCGCGTTCGCCCACAAATATACAGTCAATTCACTTTACAGTGTGTTCTGTGAAGCGCTTTGGGACGTCCTCCCGACGTGAAAAGCGCTATATCAAATGCAAGGATTATTATTATTATTATTATATAATAATCCCTTCATTACATACAGTGCCTTATCATGTCGGTGAGACATCTCAAAGGGCTTCACCAGATATACTGTAAAGTGGAGTTTCTGTATTTTTGTGGGCAAAACGAGGCAGCCAGTGTCCCATAACCAGCCGTGGAGTGAATGACTGATTTTATGTGGGGAATTGTTGGTCAGGACACCTGGGGGAGAGAAACTGCCATCACTTTTCGAGTGTTGCCTTAGGAGCTTTAACATCCGCCCACTTGAACAGGCAGATGGGACTTCAGTTTAACGTCTCATACAAAGGAAATCTCATCAAATTCTGTGCATTAATCGTAATCTCCAGCAATATGCGACTGCCACAAAAGTTGAATAATACAAATAAGGTGGTAACCCTTTGCTTGAGGATTAATGCACTTTGCAATCTGCTGACATGGTGATACAAAGCCCATTCTCTCCAGTGAGCAATCCACAGTGTTGTCTCATTACCAGTCAAACAGCCAAACACCTGTCACTTGATGCCCTTTCCAGGATGCACTTCTCTGCAACGCATACAACGGCACATTTCAGACCTTAACTGCTCCAAAATAACGGCTTGGGTCAGGGATTTTCGCTTACACAATGCACAGTCGATTCACTTTACAGTATATCCTGTGAAGCGCTTCGAGACATCTCGAAGACGTGATGAGGCGCTGTATCACAAGGATTAGTAATGTTATACGATAAACTTATCATTCGTTGCCAGTATTTATAACATTAATGGGAGGGCGTGGTTCTAGAGGATGTATTACAAATCCTCCCCATAATAACCCTGGAGCAGTCTGGCAACCTCCGGTAACTAAAAAGTTATAAGATTTTACATTTCAAACAATCATGTGAACTTGGGGTGTGAAATCATGAGATAGACAGTTTGGAATAATGAGAAGTAAAGCTCAAAGTAAAGGAAACCTTTGATTTGTTTTAACGCAAATTAAATTTCAATAGGGAGAAACGCCAGTTCAGTCCAGACTTACACTATTTACCTTCAAAAGGCCAGAATTTAGCAAATTCTTAAAATGCAGCCTTAATTTTGAACCTGTGTTTTTCTGAAATTTCTCTTAAGAGCTATAATAATAATACGGAGGGTAGGCACCACTCATTGTACTCGCTTAATAATAATAATAATCCTTGCATTTGATATAGCACCTTTTCACATCTTCGAAACGTCTCAAAGAGCTTCATAGAATATACTGTAAAGTGAATTGACTGTGTATTTTGTGGGCCAAACGTGGCAGCCAGTTGCGCACAGCAGCGTCCCACAAACAGCCGTGGATCGAGTGACCAAGTTATTACTACTGTATTTATTTATTCTTATCGATCGGCTGCGGTGATGGTGTCCAAACTGAAGCGATGCAGCTTCAATTCCCTCGAATTACACTGGAAGGCAGAGCTCTGTAATAAGGGCATTGGCGAGCAGTTGATAAGTTGACACTGAGAAGGTCGTTGGATTCTGTTTCAGAACAGGCTGTCATTTGAAACCATCTGGCACGCCCGAGATCAGATCGGATCTCTGCTACGCCACGATACAGAGCCTAGATTACATAGGAGAGTAGGAAATGCTGTATAGGAAAAGACCGAGGCCCATCCAACTCACCAATTATAAAAGTGTCTCACCTCGAGACGGGGGTGAGGAGGGGGGAGAGGTGGGGAGAGAAACAGGCAATGACAGTCTTGAAAAAAAATGTGTTTTCTTAATTCTGTGTTTAAGATTCCATTTGTTCACAGATTCACAGATGAAAAGGGCAAAACTATATAAGCAGTAAAATCAAAAGTCATTTCAGCAGCTCATTGTGGTAATATTCTGGCGAAGAAAACATCGATTTTTGACTTCTTTATTAGTGTTTTCTTCTCATATAACAATCCTCTTTTTCTCTCTCTCTCTCCCCCCTCTCTCTTTCCCTTCCGTAATTTTAAAAGAAAAGGCTTTATCACTGATGTATTCTAAAAAAAGTCAGATAATTAGCGAAAAGTCACAACTTTAAACATCTCGATGTACGGAATGCATTCTCTCCTCAACAATATAAATGTTTTGTTTTAATCTCTCTTCGTGAGACGAGGAAAGTCGTAGAGGAGAGGTTTTTTTTCACACTTTTCCTCGTCTTAATCTGGATGGACTATTCTCTACACTGAAGGAGGTCACCATGGAATGTTTGGATACAGATCTTTGTTAGGTTCCAAAACATTAACTGATCTTCTCTCTGTCAGACAAGCAGGGAACTGATCAAAGACACCCACCCTGGTTGTAACACATGGGCTTGTGGAGTCTCAAGCTTTTAAAAGGCTGGAGCTGTCACAGTCACTACACTTCACAATCCCGTGAAGGGCTTTGAGACGTCTCAACAATGTGATCAGCTGCAAGATCAAATGCAAGGGTTATTATGATTATTATTATTAACATTATTAGTTGAAGAGGTATAAATTCCCCCTCCCCCACTTCCCTCTTCGCTGCGTTTCGCCCGCAAAATATACAGTCAATTCACTTTACGGTATATCCTGTGAAGTGCTTTGAGACGTCTCGATGACGTGACAAAGTGCTGTATCAAATGCAAGGATTATTGTTACAGTATTATTACTTAACGCTCTTTGATTTGATTTCTGTGTTTTTGCAGAAGCAGTTTTTACCTGTGCGCTGGGAGATTTGTGTCGGAACAATGAAAAAGTTCCTGATTGCATTTGACTTTGACGAAACCATCATTCAGCACAACACGGATAACGTCATCCTGAAATGCAATCCAGAGGAAAAGCTCCCAGAGGAGTTGCTCAAGTCCAAAGAGGAGGGTTACTGGAACGAGCACATGGGCAAGGTGTATGATTACCTCTGTGACAAAGGCGTCAAACAAGAACACATGACTAAGGTCCTAGCAGAAACTCCGCTCACTAAAGAGATGTCGACCTTGTTCCAATTTCTTAAGAAACACTCAGATCTATTTGAATGCATTATAGTCTCCGATGCCAACATCTACTTCATCAGTACCATCCTTGAAGCCAACGGACTGTCCGCAGTCTTCCAGAAGGTCTACACAAACCCCTCATACTTTGACAACAGAGGCTCGTTAGTGATCAGCCCCTTCCATTCCCACAAGTGCCAGCAATGTCCCGTCAACATGTGCAAACGGCAGATTCTTCACGAACACCTGATGCAACGCCTCAAGGAGGTGCAGATCGAGAAGGTGCTGTACGCCGGCGATGGGGCCAACGATTTCTGCCCCTCCTCAGTCTTGACTGCCACTGATGTCGTCTTTCCGAGAAAGAATTACCCCTTGGACAGGATGATCTCGGAGGTCAAGGGGGTGAAGCCCCTTGTGTTCAAAGCCCAAGTGGTTCCATGGGAGAACGGGGGAGACATCCTGGCCTTCCTTCAGGAGATGACGAGATCCCTCTCGGATGCCCCAAATAATCAGGAATTCACTGCCTCGTGTAGCAATGCAAAAGCTCTGTTGGGGTAGTGTAGCAAATTCTTAGCAGTCACATTGCATGATTTAAAGCTTACTTAATTATTTAATTTAATTTAATTGTAATACAAGCTCAGGGGCCTGTGGTTTATTTCTCTCACCTAACATTGCCAGTTAGGTTATTAATAGTTGAATGTAATAATTGTGTCCACACACTGCTGCAATTGTAGATACTCATTCGAAGAAACAATGCACCTTTTTCGTGTAACACACGGAAAAGTAGGTTTCCTTCATTCTATTATGTAATTTAGTGGAAAACAAGGGGTTGTAGCAACCTGCGATAGTACGAATGTTTGTGTTAAGAAAAAAACATTTGCCGGTGATATTTTGAAAATCCGTAATATATTTATCTCAGCAAAGATTCGAAGCGATTTACGTTGTGTCTTTACCAAGCACAGAGAGCTAACGGCAGTATAAATAAATGCCAATAGTAATATAATAACCAGTTATTGATCTTTCATTGCTTTTAAGAATAAGAACCAAACCGATAGAGAGGTTCTATTTTTAAGAAAAATTGCTGCTAGTTCCTATCATTTTCTTTTTCTTTTTTAGCGAGAGATCTTTCCACACAGAGGAACATTCAGGAGAATGCAACTTTTACATTTCTGCGAAAATGGAAAAAAAAAGGGTTTTATTTTTTTTCCCTAATTTTTATAAATAATTTTTAAAAAATTAAAATGGACTTGTGAGGAGGATAAACAAACAAAACTTAACAGCCACTGAGAACTACTAAGTATTTATGAATGAACTTTAAGAAGTAAATAGAGTTAACTGCAGGAGGTAATCAATACAGTTCAACAGAAAACAGTTCAAATCTTAACACCTTTGGGTCATGGAAATCTCCGTGGATCTCTCCCTACTTTCATTACGGATCGATTGGGAGTTAAAGCAAATATCTTAGCTTTCCTCACGGCTGGATTTCTGCTGATTAAACATAACCGGATGGAAAACATTCACCCCTCTTATTCTGTTGCATGCTGAAGTCTAAGGCAAATCTTTTGGGCAAAAAGCCGAGCGAGATGTACAGAAATGGCACTGTACTGTATCTGCATCTAAGGTTCTTGATGCATCTACCGCGATAGCCTAAGTCAAGGTGGTCCAAGCTTTTCGGCTGCTAAGGGCCAATTGGAGAAACGTCTGCAGGCTGCACACGCAATGTTTCCCTTGCAGAAATGAGTTATGGAGGGAGAAGGAGGGATAGATGAAATAGAGGAGTGGAGATTGGGGGGTGCTGATTAAATCGTCCCAAGTGCCGTTTCCAATTAGCCCACCCTGCTCTGAGTGAGAGTGACTCGCAGAGCTTCTGTTCTTATGAAAACCCCTGCAGAATCGAAGACTTGAAGAGAAAGCAAGTGGTAATTGACTACGGGTGGCCCAACAAGGCTGTGGTGCAATATGAAAAAAATATTCAATGTCGGAACCGAAATCCCGGGGAAAGGAGATGAATTGCTTTTAAATGATTCAAACGAATCTCCCCTTCCCTGCCTTCGCTGATCAATCACGTGCTAGAAACTAACGTTCGGCACTGGAGCCAGAACTCGTATTAGAGGTGTCCTTAATTATAGAATATTTTCTCACTTGGAAAATAAGTCTTGTGCTCATTCACAAATTGAATGTATTAAAGTTCGGAGGCAGAATTAGTTTTTTTTTTGGTTTTCCTCTTGAAATGCAGTTGTGAAATAAATAAATAAAAAAGTAATAGTTTTAAAATATTTAAACCTTGCGTTCCTTGCACATTAAGTGTTTTCTGTTTTGTTTTCCTTAATTTGGTTCAAAAACGTCTTTGTTTAAAAGCCTCGGATTTTCCTAGCGCAGCACTGATTCTGCACAAAATTCATCTTTCACTCAGCTCATATGAGAGTTAAGAATCATATCAGACTTTGAAGTTCAATATGTTCATGCCTGGACAACAACAACAAGCGCCCTCCATGCAGGGCAGTGTCTCAGAGCGCTTCACAGTAACGGATCCCGGGGTCGAGCCAGGGGGAGGGGGGGAAGGTGACCAAAGGCACATTGAAGAGAAAGGTCTTCAGCAGAGACCTGAAAATAAGAAGAGAGGGAGCAAGACGAAGGGAGTGAGGAAGGGAATTCCAGAGCCTCTGGGCATAGTGGCTGAAGACACGGCCGCTGAGGGTGGAGCGGAGGACTCAGGGAACGAGGAGGAGGCCAGACCCAGAGGAACGAAGGCACTGGGTACTGTTTTGAGGAGAGAGAAGGTCAGAGAGGTCTGGAGGTGCAGAGGAGTGGAGGGATTTGAATACAAAGGTGAGGATCTTGAAGTCGACCCTCTTTGGGACAGGCAGCCAGTGCAGTCTGGCAAGGACTGGGGGTGATCGGGGAGCGGAGTTTGGTGCGGGTGAGAATGCGGGCGGCAGAGTTTTGAATGATCTGGATTTTATGGATGGTAATGGATGGGAGGCCGGCGAGGAGGGCATTAGAGTAGTCCAGCCGAGAGGTGACAAAGGCATGGACAGGGTTTCAGCGGCTTTTGGAGAGAGGTATTGGTGGAGATGGGCGATGCATCGGAGGTGGAAGAAGGCGATGCTGGTGAGGGATCGGATGTGGGGGAGGAAGGATAATTGGGGGTCGACCCTGACGCCTAAATTGCGTATGGGTTCGGAAAGTTTTATGGGGGAGTCGGGTGGGTGGAGGAGGTGAGAGCCGTGAGATTTTAGACATTGACGAGAGCCAAAGAGTATGGCTTCTGTCTTGTCAACGTTCAGCTGAAGGAAATTTACGCCCATCCAGCCCCTGAGATCTGACAGGCAGCTGACAGAACATCAGGGGACTGGGGGTCACAAAGAGAAGTGGAAAAATAGAATTGTGTGTCGTCTGCATACATGTGGAAGTGTACCCCATGTCTGCGGATGACATCCCAAGAGGAGCATGTAGATCAGAAAGAGGAGGGGGACAGAAACACGTACATACACACAACAACAACAAAATTACATTTATAGAGTGCCTTTCACATCGGGAGGACGTCCCAAAGCGCTGAACAGTCAGATGTCGGGGCCAGAGCATGGGGGAGAGTTGGTGAAGGGGTGAGGGAAGGCAGAGGCGACCAAAGGCACGGTCAAAGAGAAGGGTCTTGAGACCGGCCTTGAAGGAGGCGAGGGAGGAAGCGAGGCGAAGGGACAGTTGGGATGGAGTTCCTGAGTGTGGGGGCAGAGAGGCTAAAAGCCCGGCCACCGATGGTAGGGTGGGTCGGGCGGGAGACATGGAGCAGGCAAGAGCCTGATGAACGGAGGGAGCGGGCAGGTTGGTAGGGAGTCAGCAGGTCAGAGAGGTAGGAGGGGGCAAGGCCATGGATGGTCTTAAAGGTGAGGATGAGGATCTTGAACTCGATCCTCTGGGGGATGAGGAGCCAGTGGAGTCGGACGAGGGTGGGAGATGGGGTCACGGAGCCTGGTGCGGGACAGTACATGAGCTGCAGAGTTTTGGATAATCTGCAGCTTGTGAAGGGAAGGGTTGGGAAAGCCAACGAGGAGGGAGTTTCCATAATCAAGCCTTGATGTAATGAATTAGGGTGAGGGTTTCGGCAGCCTGAGGGGTGAGACAGTGGCGGAGTCTGACAGTGTAGCGGAGGTGGTGGTAGGCAGTACCGGTCATAGCGCAAGCGCACATACAAATACAAGCACAGACACACATGCACACAGAAGCACACACACGTAGATACACACACAAATCCAAGCACAGAAACACACACACATGCACACACAGAAATACAAACACGGAAACACAAACATGTAGACACACACATGGATGCACACACATACGCACAATATTCACCACAGTGTTTAAATCAGGAACTACATATTCCTCTAGTGTTTAACATTCGAGTTCGGTTGAAGACAGAGCTCAATTTTCAGGGCTAGTTTAGCCCAAACCCATTGTATCTGAGTCACTGCACAGTCCCTGGGAGCATATTGTTCATCTGTTGCAGTCCTAAACCTGGCGTCCGCAAACACGACAGATGTGACCTCATTTTATCCTGTCAGAATCATAAATATATTCTCTGTTCAAGCACCAGTTGGTTTGAGTCTGAGAAGCGATCATTATTAACCTTATTTGCTCAGTGGCAAAAGTATGGAAAGAGAAGAAGAGGAGGGGAATTTTGCCTAAAACCAAACAATCCCAGCCTGTTCAAACTAAGTCGGATGTGGTGTTTAGCAGAGATTTTAATAAACAGCTGAGCTGGATTTGTAAGAGTATTGCGTCGGTGTCAACTTGGCTCAGTTGGTAGCACTCTCGTTCTCTGAGTCACATGTAGGGAAACGAGGCAACCATCTGCACACAGCAATGTCCCACGAACAGCCTTAAAGTCCACAACAAATTCATCCAAAGGAACATTGGCCAGCCACGACACCAGCGGAAGCCGCCTTCTTCTCTCGAGCAGTGTCAGAGAGATGATTCACATCATCTAATCAAGCAGCCAGGACCTCAGTCTAACTTTTCATCTGAAATACGACTCCATTGTCATCCATTCTGACAATGCCGTACTGACGTTTCGGTCAAGACTGTTCCACTTCACGGCTGTTTTGGGACATTGCTGCCTGTGAAAATTGGCTGCGAGGGTCGGCCTACAAAATACACAGTCGCTACACTTTACAGTGTATCCAATGAAGCGCTTTGAGACCTGAAAGGCGCTGTATCAAATGTTAAAGATTCTTACGCTGATCTCAAGTCCCAGTGTGAGCTTTGAACCTACGATTTTATGACCCGGAGTTGAAAGTGTGACCAACTTGGGCAAAGCAGATACAACAACAATAACAACTTCATTTATATAGCGGCCTTCACTCTGGGTGTCGTCTCAGAGTGCTTGAATACTTTCGGAACGGATGTTATCTGATGGCGATGGTGGGGTTGGGAGGAAAGTGGGGGAGGAAGATTGACACCCTCTCCTGCTTCACTGGCGCTATCTGAATCACTCCAGCTGCTTATGCTCAAACAATAGCGACTTGCCCTGAGCTACGGACATAATTGCAACACTCTGTGCGTCAGCTGAAAGGTTGGCCCGCAAGGAAACCACTTGCACGCTCAGACATCGGTTTCTCAGCTGTCAAGAGCTCCCGAAAGCTGACGTGGGATGTGGTGTTGCAATTGATTTCCTTAACACACTGCTGCCTGTTGTTTCAAGAAGTAGTGAAAACAGTTTAAAATACCCTGCGTTGTGCTGAGCGTGTCAGCAGCTGTATGGAAAATGTTGCTGAAATATCCTCGTTATAATAATAATAATCCTTGCATTTGATATAGCGCCTCATCGCGTCCTTGAGACGTCTCAAAGCTCTTCACAGGATATACTGTAAAGTGGATTGACTGTGTATTTTGTGGGCGAAATGCGGCAGCCAATTGCGCACAGCAGCGTCCCACAAACAGTCGTGGATTGAGTGACCAATTTATTATTATTTTTTTTTAAGAAATTATTACCCCCGGAAAAGCCAT